TCTGTGTTTCCTGTTGTTGCAATAAAACTCAGCTGATCATCCCACAGAGTACCTTCATTCTTGGACCACCTATTTCTGTCTTTGTTAAATAAATATTGCCGTAACACCTGTGATGGTTCAGTGTTTCATCTACCATTCAATAACCTAACTCCCAGCCCCGCTGACAACCACCTGGCATAAGTAACACTCAATCCAATTCATTTATAAAGCCCTTTAAAATGCCTCTAAAAGAACAAAGGGCTGTACAATAAAATTAAGTAAACACACTCAAAATTAAAAGATCAACAGAAACATAGGAAACAATGATAAAATACCATAAAAATCAAGATGCAGTAAAAGCCAGAGAATAAAAATAGGTTTTGAGTGAAGATTTAGCAGCTACTGGTTTGGCCTGTGTAATGTGCAAGGGCAAGCCATTCCATAACTTAATACTGCAAAATCCCCATGCCTTCTGAGGAGCTGATCAGCAGATCAGTGAGATGTGGATGTAAAAGTTCAAAAAGGTAGGAAGGGGCATATATAACGTTTTAAAACAAAAGATTAAATGGATTCTAAAATGGATCACAAACCAATGCAGTGAGTTTCAAACTGGTGTAATGTGATCAAATGTCTTTGTATCAGTTAAAAGGCATGCAGCACCCTTTTGCACCATTTGTAAACGAGCAACCCACTGATCCCAGCAGTGTTACAAAAGTCCAGCAGAATTGTAATAAAAACATTTAGCCTCAGATGAAACTAGATTTCACCACGGCCTTTATCTGACTATCAATTTTAAGGCTAGCATCATCTTTGACTCCTAAGTTTGTGGCAATTGGCTTAAGAATGTGAGCCATGGAACCAACATTAGTGCTCCACTTCTCAAACATTGATGGTTTGTAGACAGTGGACCATGAAGAAAAGACTGAACAGGAAGAGCCTGAATAAAAGGGGAAAAAAAAACATGGCAGGAACAAATCAACTGAAGGAGAACACAGAGGAAAACATGAAGGAGAATGGTGTAAGCACATCCATAACCATGACTGATGTGAAGTGCAAAGTGAAGGAAATAAAAAAGTCTAAGACTGGAAAAAGAAAGTAGCTGCAACATAGATGAATGGGGAACTGGTGAAAGTGGGAGGAGCAAGATTGAGGAGCAGGATTGAGGAGCAGGACTGACATGAGAAAATACTGGACAGAACTAAACCCATAAAGCAAAAAACACTAAAAATAAACAAACCAAAATCTAATAATGCTAAAACTGAACACAAAAAAACCAAAAAGCAACCAAAAACACAGACCTGGATACACCCTATTTTGAAACATCTGAAGCATTACTTTCAGCGCAGTGAAAATGTGTCCACATTTCACTTATTTAATCATTTGTGCTCGCTGCAGTTGTGTTTCCAGTTAAACTCTGTTTTCTTGGTACACAGCAGTGATTTCTGAGAAACAGATGACACTTTAAGGACGATGAAGCTCATGTTTGTGGTGAGTTACCTGAAGTAGGTGTGAGAGTTTGAAGCACAGCCAGAAGCAGGCAGCAGACATGAGAAACTATCCTTTTATTCATCGTGTCTTCTTGTCTTTGGTTCTTCACGTCTACTTCGCTTGGTTTCTCCTCGTCCACAGATGGTTTCTGGAGAGTTTAAATAATGACATGACAAAACTCTCATATGCTTAAGAGACCAAATGCTTTACATAAAAATCTCCCATGCTCTTTTAGGCACAGCTGTGTTTTATGAGAAAGTTGCCAGTAATATATGTGCATTTAATAAGACAGAAATGCCTAAACAATATCAACTATTGTCAATTAAAACTTTATTTATTGCAGGTGATATGTTACCCATGGAGTAAAGTAGTATTTTACCTCAAAATGCAGGCAAAGTTTTCTGTTTTATTAATGTCGCTCCCCTGTGGGAAGGCTCCCTACACAGCAACAACAATGACGCCACATACAGAAAAGAAGTAAACCAACTTGTCAACTGATGCAACAATAACAATTTGTTACTGAATGTCAGCAAGACAAAATAAATTATTGTGGACTTCAGGAAAAAGCATAGGATAAATACTCCTCTTACTATCAGTGGCAGCATTGGTGGAGTTAGTGAAAAGCATCAAGTTCCAGGTACATATTACAGATGACCTGATGTGGACTTCACACATAACTTCCCATTTCTACCATCTGGAAGTTAACTCATTATCTCCAGAAAACAGTCCTCGTTATTTCACGATAACGACATAATATGTTGTCATCACAAGAAAACCGTGGAAAATAATTAAATGTAGAAAACGTCCACTCTCAGCTTCCATATTTATCAGTCACCTAGGACATGGAAAATTAAAGGTAAAAGGACAAAGCAACTGGACTTCTGTTCTGTGGCTGAAAACATGGAGCTACAAGATTTAAACAGCATGAACTGAAGTTAGGGGATCGATCCGCTCACCCCCACTTTTTAATCACTGCCAGACTGTCATGAAACAAATTTAACATCTTTTGTGTCCGTTTTGCATTTAATAGTAAAAAAACTGACATGCAGTTAATGCAATGCAAATTAAAAACGAAGGTGCAAATAAAAAATAAGTGGCTTTATTGTATGTTCTATATTGTTCTAAAATAAATCACTGCGTATTCATAATTTGTTTTTGGTTTTATTTCTATAAAAAAAGCACAAGAGGACTGGTAACATACCAGATCGAAAAGCAATATCAATAAGTGTAGTTTCAATAAAACCCAATGATACCCATCCCTTGTCACTAGATGGCACTTCTGAGACAGCAAAGGGCAGAGAGAGTCTGTTAGTGGTTTGACAGAGGAAGTCTGAAGTAAGACAAGTTCTAATGGTGCCTGGCATGATAATATGCATGTTAAAAAAGTTCCTGACTTCAGCTACCAACTCTTTACGCTGTACAAATTTTAATGAAAGTCTAACAAAATAATCACTGTGTCTACGTGTGTATACATATAAAGACAATTAGAGTTCTTACTGCCTATCCCGCCCATCTGCGACATTGTGAGGAGCTAACAGCGTGCCAACAAAACAACTATTGAAATTAACAGCAAGCCCAAATGGATCTGGGTCACTTGTGTATTATATTTTACATTGTTGCAATAAAATAATATAATTCATAATTCATGGTAGATTCATTCAACAGTTATATAAAGCCAGATGTTATATAAGAAAAATAAATATAACATTGATCTAAATTAAACCAGTCAAGAACTAAAACTTTGTAGCTGCTTGAAGAATTATGACTTCAACTAATGAATTTGCAATTAACTTAATAATGGACACTTATACCTGCTATGTAGACAACGCTTGAAAAATGTTCACTACATACCTTGTGAAACTTTGTAGGATGAAAGTTGTCTCTACTGATAATGGCTAAAGAAGAAAATTATGTTTCATGTTTCCAGTTTTTATGTCAGTATAGGATCCCAAACCTTATTTTTGGTGTTAATTGGTTGTTATATTTATAATTTTTTTTACCTGGAAAACTTATATTCTTGTGATAACTAATCACATATAAAGGAGGTTGAATCAAGCTGGCAACTGATTAAAACTTAGCCCCATCTAGAAACATATGGCTCTTATCAATGTATTGCTTTTATAGATAAATGACACAACTGGGTGAAACACAAGGATAAGTCTTTTTCACACCATAATCATCTTATTGTCTTGAGTAAACAAAACTTGTTTTGTCCAAACTGGCTAAAATAAACTTTCCGTTATTTTGGGATGGTAAACTTGCGACCTTGAGAAAATCCCATCAAATAAACACAAGTACAGCTTTACTCAGCTTCAGCAAATTAGGTTTTGTTACAACAATGTTAAATAAAGAAACCAAACAATCAAGTAAACATCCTGCTACAGATCCACACAAATCTTCCTTGTTTCTTTCATGAATATAAATCTGCCTTACTTATTGCTCAATTAAAAAAAAGACTAAATTTGAGGGACAAAATGTACACACATACCTTGGTTACTTCTCAGAACTAGTGATAAGCAGTGTTTACAGTAAAGCGCTGGTCTCAGATTCTACCTGCCACACTAACAAGTAAAGAAATGTTCAGACCAAGACACCCAAAGGAATGCAGACATCTTCCTGATCAACCAGATAGATTTTTGTGAACAACAAACAGGTTGAACAGGCTTGAATTCAATCCACCATTTTCAGCTTCACTTTTGTTTCTTTGCCTCAGGTAAATTGTATTGCCTAATGTCAAAGAGTAACATCCACATACCCGTCATGGAACTCTATTTTTAAAGCCGGTTTGGTGTTATGGAAGCAGAATTTGAGTCATGTTTTCACTGCCTGCAGTTTACCTTGCTGTGCTGTGTCAAAGTGAAGAGCAGTGAACTGCTGTAATGAGATTATTTAAACAAGAAAGAGGAAGGTCACACCATGCACCTTCAAGATGAGTTTAGCTAACTGGGAGCTCTAAAATACTTAATTCAGACAAAATGGTGCTAAATGCTAACAGCCAGTAGGCTAATATTTGATGTTTGACGTGGTGTTTGGCAGGTTCGTCATCCTTTTCTTCTATTCTTTTTGATTGGGACACAAAAGGATTAAAATCATATGATTGGAAAATAAATAACATTTCACATTTAACTGATGAATTGAAAATAGGATTAGGACATGATTAATTTGAATTAAACATGATTGGGGATTCTAAATGGGTTAAAAACATAATTAGGAAATTAAA